ATGTGTGGTACCCTTTCATAAAAATGAAGTATGCTTATATAAAAATAAAAATGTGTAGAGTGCTGATGATGTGAGGCAAATGAAGATAAAACAATTAAGAGTGCACCGTGTGTATTGTGTATGTCTAAAATAAAAATAATTTATGGAAAAATAAAGTAAGTGGAGTGTGTCATTGTAGATTGAAAGGTAAAAAAGATTTGATTGTAGTATGCCATGTGAGTTGGTTAATTGATCATTTCCTTCTCTTTTTATTTTTAGACAAAATAGCTAAGTAAAATACTACTACTTATCTAAAGTTTTAAAAGAAAGATTAACATTGCTATATTAAAGAAAATATAAAATATTACTCAATGTTTACTGCATATGTACAACTTAAAATCAAAACAAATAAAAATATGTAATTTTTTTTTTAAAAAACTTGCTTACTATCGTTTTTTTTTCAATTTTATGAAAAGTAAGAAAAATTAAAAGGTGGTAGTCAAAACCAATTAGCTAAAATAAAGGAAAATATTTTTGTAAATTTTATTTTTAAGACAAAATAAAGCAAAAAATTTTAAAATATTCAAAATAGTACTGTTAGACCTAAAACTAATATCTAAGCACTAAAAGGTATAAAATTTCGGGGAGGGTCAAAAATTACATGTCTACACCCTTTATTCCGTTAAGTTTGTCCAATGTGAACATCCAATCCTACGTGGTACTGACATTTGATGAGGTGGATGTCACATGGCATGCCACCTTAGCCCATCTTACCCTCCCCTATATTTGTTTTTTCACCACTAAAATTTTCTTTCCCTACACCATTATTGCCAGTATAACCGCCATCATGAACAATATTGAATTTTTAGCTAGTCAACTCGGACCAAATCGAAGTATCTGAACGGTGTGAGACTAAATGTTACCCATCTACAAATGCTTTGAGCACCTAAGTCTGCAAAAAGAAATACTTCAATTAGTCATCCCCAATATCATGTACACTAATAGTACATAAAGAGATCATCTAGTTTCTCGAGGAAGAGAACTTCATTTGAAATTCGAGAAGATTCGGATTGTATTGAATCCCATACAAACAACGAGTGGAGAAACAAACATATAAGTATAAAAAACTAAACTTTGAATATAATATTTTTCATGGTGGCGATAATGGTGATAATTAGGGGTGTACATAGGTCGGGTTAGTTCGGATTTTACAATTACCAAACTAAATCAATTGTGTCGGGTTATTAAATCTAAAGACCAAACCAAACCAATAAAACTCGGTTTTTTCACTCTCGGTTTTTCTCGGATTTTCGGGTTTTTCGAGATTTTTTCCGGTAAAATCTTCATAGAACAAAACATATAAATTGTGCTCAAAATATTTCTTTAATCCTAGTAAGATATAACTATATAAAGTATTTTCCAAGAAAATAATACAAAATATGGGATGTGTCATGGCATTATCCTAAAATATTCAATAATAACGACAATAAAATTATGTAATGTAAATATTGCTAATTAAAAAGCCATAATAAAAATAAATATAATCTAAAAGTACTAAGTCATGCTAAAATAAATAGACTAATAAGGGAATATTAATTACATGACTAAACGCTAAAGAAAAAATAAAAATAGGTTATGCATTTTTATCTAAATTATTACAAAACAAAAAATAGATATTCAATACATTCCCGTTCGTAGTATTGATTTGAATGTCTTTTGTTAGCATTAGTATTGATTTGATTTTGATTTGGGTTTTTGTTAGCATTATTTAATTTACTAATGTTAATGGCTATAAAACTTATTGGAACATTCAAAAGTTCTAAGTCCAACCTTGAAATAATACCTTAAATGATAAAATTATGAAAAAATTTAAGAAATATTTATAAATTACATCACAATAAGTATATTTATATATTAAATATATCTAAAATTTCTATATATGTAATGTCGGGTTGGTTTGGTTTCGGTTTGACTTTCTTTAGTTAAAACCAAACCAAACCAATTATGGTCGGGATTTTTTTTTCCAACACCAAACCATAATCGGGTTTTTTTTCTCGGTTTGACTCGAATTATCGGGTTGGTGTGGTTTGTCGGTTTTATTTGTACACCCCTAGTGGTAATGATGGCGTAGAGAAAGAAATTCTAGTGGTGGAAAATAAAATAGAAGTGAGGGATAAAATGGGTTAGGGGCGCTAAGGTGACATGCCACGTGACATCCACCTCATCAAATGTCAGTGTTACGTCGGATTGGATGTCCATCTTGCACAAACTTAACGGAAAATGAGTATATTTGAATCAATAGTATAATGATAGGAGAATATTTGGACCCAAAATATAACAAAGGGTATATATAAACCTTTTCTCATAGTATAAGGATATATTTAGCCCTTTTCCGTTCGGTGAAATTTGAATCCTATATCATTTAGATGTAGAATGAAGTTACGAGCTAAATTGCAATCCTAGACTCAACATAATCTCTCAAATAAAATTTAAATAATTCTAATTTTTTTTTGTGTGATTTTTAATTCAGGAAAAGTTTCATTCTTGTATTTTTGGTCATCTTACTATCTTCTTGTTATTTATGTTGTTTTTACATGGCTTTTCGGTGTTGTCCTTTTTTGTTTATGTAGTGCTTATGCTTTAATTGAGCCGAAGGTTTATTGGAAACATCTTCTCTATCTTCACAAGATAGGAGTAAGGTATGCGTACACACTATTCTCCTCAGACCCAACTATGCGGAATTACAATTATATGGAATTATATTGGGTTGTTGCTATTTGTTGTTGCTGCAATTGAGGAAAAAGTATTTGTATTCTAGTTTATTCTAGCCTTGTTCTGAGCGTGAATTACGTGCGCTTTGCTTATGCGACTTGTTTTCAAAACCCTTTTTAAATCTCTTGAAATTTTTATTCAATTAAACATCATTAAATAATACTAGATATTTTCAATTTTTGCAGAAATAAAAAGAATATGAAACAAAAACCACTGAAACTGGACCAAAATTGGAACTAACTTCCCCTATAGGTTTGCTTTGAAACCAAACTGGACCAACAACAACAATAACAATATACCCAGTAAAATCCCATTAGTGGGGTCCGGGGAGAGTAGAGTGTACGCAGACCTTATCCCTACCCCGAAAAGGACAGAGAGGCTATTTCCAGGAGACTCTCGGCTCAATAGGAAAGGCAATAATATCAAAAAAGAAATAAGAGAAAAGACATGTAACAATAAAAGATACCAGAAAGAAAATAACAACCACAAATAAGTGAAAGGACAATAACACCAAACTATGCAAAACACCAATGTGAATACAACGAAGACCGCTAACAAACCTAATGAAACTCTAACAGACTATCCGGTACAAAGAGGGAAGAACTCTCGACTACCCCCTAGCCTACCACCCTAATGCTTGACCTCCACATGTTCCTATCAAGAGTCATGTCCTCGGAAATCTGAAGTCGCGCCATATCCTGCCTGATCACCTCGTCCCAATAGGCCGCCCTCTGCCTCTTCTCGTACCTGCCAAAGTCAACCGCTCACACCTCCTAACCGGTACATCTAGGCTTCTTCTCCACACGTGTCCGAACCATTTAAGCCGTGCTTCCTGCATCTTGTCGTCCACAGGAGCCACGCCCACCCTCTCCCGAATATCTTCATTCAGAATCTTATCCAGCCTAGTATGTCCACACATCCATCTCAACATCCTCATTTCTGCTACTTTCATCTTTTGGATATGTGAATTCTTGACTGGCCAACACTCAGCTCCATACAACATGGTCGGTCTAACCACCGCTTTATAGAACTTAACTTTGAGTTTCGGTGGAATATTCTTGTCACACAGGACTCCAGACGCTAACCTCCATTTCATCCACCCCACTCCTATACGGTGCATAACATCCCCATATATCTCCCCATCTCCCTGGATAATAGACCCTAAGTACTTAAAACTTTCTCTCTTGAGGATGACCTGTGAGTCAAGCCTAACTTCCATATCCGCTTCCCCCGTCACGTTGTTGAACTTACATTCCACATATTCTGTCTTAGTCCTACTCAACTTGAAACCTTTAGACTCTAGAGTCTGCCTCCATACCTCCAGTCTCCCATTAACGCCGCCTCGCGTCTCATCAATCAGAACTATATCATCAGCGAACAACATATACCATGGCACCTCTCCTTAAGATATGGTGTGTCAGTGCGTCCATCGCCAGAGCAAATAAGAACGGGCTGAGCGCAGATCCTTGGTGTAATCCCATAACCACCGGAAAAGGCTCTGAGTCACCTCCCACAGTCCTAACCCGAGTCATAGCTCCATCATACATATCCTTTATCGCCCTAATGTAAGGCACCGACACACTTTTTACCTCCAGACACCTCCAAAGGACGTCCCTAGAGACCTTGTCATATGCCTTCTCTAGGTCAATAAATACCATATGCAAATCCTTCTTCCTATCCCTGTATAGTTCCATCAACCTCCTGATAAGGTGGATAGCTTCCGTAGTAGAACGGCCCTGCATGAACCCGAACTGGTTTTCCGATATAGACATCGCCCTCCTTATCCTCATTTCCACCACCCTCTCCCAGACTTTCATGGTATGATTTAGTAACTTGATACCCCTATAGTTGTTACAATTCTGGATATTCCCTTTGTTCTTGTACACCGGAACCATTGTACTCCATCGCCACTCATCAGGCATCCTCTTTGTCTTGAAGATAACATTAAACAGCTCAGTCAGCCACTCCAAGCATGCCCTACCCGCATATCTCCAATACTCTACTGGAATCTCATCAGGTCCGGTCGCTTTGTCTTGACTCATATTACCCATCGCACCCACGACCTCCTCAACCTTAATGTGCCTACAATATCTAAAGTCTCGGTGACTCTCGGAGTGCCCTAATTGCCCTAACACAATGTTTCCATCCCTCTCTTCATTTAAAAGTTTATGAAAGTACAACTGCCATCTTTGCCTAATCTGGGCCTCTTCCATCAATACTCGACTGTCCTCGTCTTTGATACACCTCACTTAATCCAGATCGCTAGACTTCTTCTCTCTCGCTTTGGCCAATAGAAATAACTTCTTATCCCTACCTTTTCCCCCCAGTTCCTCATAAAGCCGATAAAAAGCAGCGGTCTTAGCCTCTGTGACTGCTACTTTCGCCTCCTTCCTAGCCTCCTTATATCTTTCTCTGTTCACTCTCCTTTGATCCTCGTCGATGCTCTCTACTAACTTAATGTATGCACGCTTTCTTGGCTTCCACTTTACCTTGGACCACGTCATTCTACCACCAGTCGCCTTGGTGCCCGTAATAATAGCCTTTCGAAACTCCTAACACTTCTCTTGTTGCCTCCCTTATACAGTCCGTCGTCGCCGTCCACATAGCACTAGCGTCCCCACCACTCTTCCAGGCACCCATATTTGTCAGCCGCCCCTCCAACTCTTGCGCAGTATCCTTAGACAAAGCTCCCCACCTGATCCTCTACGGACCCCGTATAAACCTCTTCTTCCTCTTCATCAAAATACTGACGTCCATCACTAGGAGCCTATGTTGAGTTGCGAGGTTCTCACTCGGTATCACCTTGCAATCCTCGCACAACCCCCTATCACGCCTCCTGAGGAGGAGATAGTCAATTTGAGTCTTAGCCACCATACTCCAGAAAGTAACCAAATGTTCCTCCCTCTTCGGAAACATAGAGTTCACGATCACCAACTCAAAAGCTCTAGCGAAATCCAACAGTGAGGTACCACCCCCGTTCCTATCACCAAAGCCGAAGCCACCGTGCACCTCACTATACCCACCAGCCGACGACCCAATATGACCATTGAAATCCCTTCCTATGAATAGCTTCTCCGTCGACGGAATACCCCACACCACCTCATCCAACGCCTCCTAAAAGCACCTTTTTACCTCCTCGTCCAAGCCTGTTTGCGGCGCGTAAGTGCTAATGACATTCAGAATGCTCCCTCCAACTACTACCTTAATCGCCATCAATCTGTCATTCACCCGTCTTACCTCTACCACTGACTCTCTAAGCTCCCTGTCCACCAAAATGCCCACTCTGTTCTTGCCTTTCACGACTCCGGAGAACCACAATTTATACCCGTCTACATTCCTCACCTTCAATCCTACCCACCTAGTCTCTTGCACACACGCTATATTGACCCTTCTCTTCTGGAGAATCTTCGCCAACTCTATAGACTTACCCGTCAACGTCCCTATATTCCACGATCCAACTCTCAACCTACATGCTACCTTGTTCCCTTTACCCCTTTTGGGCCCCGTCCCACCCCCATCCNGGACATGACCCTACTCTGCCATTACAAACCACAGTCTCTATTCCTACGAAGGTCTAAAAATGAAACGGAGAAAAAAATACCACACAAAACAACAAAGGGAGCAAATAGTAACTACAAGCCCACTAAACTGACTAGACTAGTACGAAATACTATGCTAATAAAGTAATTAACACCGGGGACAGAGAAACAAGAGGCGGGAGGTACCAATTCCCGTGAATAGAACTTGGGACTCCCGACTTGGTATACTCCCGATGCTGCGGAACCTGGTGTATAGCTGCTACTTTACTGCTTGTGCGTGTGCACCTCCCAAAAATGATACCTGCAAAATGCACAAACACCCACGGAACCAGGAGAATAGGGTAGGAAAAAACCTAGAAATGAAAACTAATATCTTCTACAAATTACCCTTATAGCCAAAAATCCGTTTTATATCTTTTGAGATCACAAAAAAATTCAATAGAAAAAATCCGTTTTATACCCGTTTTTTTTACTTTATTTACGTCTGAAGAAAAATACTCAGTAATTAACTATGGAAGGAAAAAAAATTTGCAGTTTTATTATGTGCAGAGGATTCAAAATACGCGAGAAAGAAATACAGCGGTTATGTTGGTGTTTTTGTAAGAATGCTGGCGAAAGAAGGGGAAACGTGGGACGTATTCCGCGTGGCTAACGACGAGTTTTCCAGCGGATGATGTGATCGGAGAATATAACGGATTTGTGATCATCGGTAGTTGTAATGACGCTCACGGTAATGATTTGTGGATCTGTAAACTACTCAATGTTAAAATCGAAATTGATTTTCAAAATGGCTATAACCGACAAAATATTCTGGTAACAAACCCAAAATTTTCAAAATCCTTCAAGGCCTACTAAAGAATAGAAATTTAAGAAAGTAATTATCAAGTGAAAAGGAAGAAGATATTGATTCTTAGCAGCAACGTCGATGCGCCAAAAACTTGTCGAACCTACGCCGGAGTTTGGCCGGAAAATCTGGTGCTCCGACGAATATTGACCGGAAATATTAGAGGAGAAATTGATATAATCATGAAATCAAACTGGACCAAACTTGAAAATGTAGACATAGAACTAACTTTCCCTAATTTCCCAAACTAATTAGTAGTGGATTACCACCAAAAAGAAAAGAAGAAAAAAAAAGGATAACCTATAAAGGAAATACATAACTAGAATTAAAACGATCTTAATCGAGTTTGAGATTCTCAAGGCTATATGCTGTTAGGGAAAAGCAAGGCACTTCCCAAACTAGCTGCATGAATTTTTTTCCCCATCAAACTTGCTTTAGGAATTGAAAGGCAAAAAATAATCATAAAAATGATAGAAATTTATGAGAAGGACTCGCAGATTGAGGTCATATATCCAACCCCAACTTATTTGGAACTCGACTATTCTTATAATATTTTGTAATTTTCAATATATATTACTACTTATTATCAGGTTCAAAACTGTTTTGATACTCCTCGAGTACTTTCGATTAGCTAATCAAAACAGAAATTTTAAACCATTCATAAACAGATTCAATTATCCAGTGCAAGTGCCGCATGTTGATAGAAGAAGAAAAATGCACAACCTTTCGTTTGTGAGAGAATCAGATCCTAGACATTTCGTAACTAATCTATCCACAGCTTAACATCAAAACCAAATTGACTCGGTTACTGATTCGCTAAGGTCGTCACCCATAGCCACCAACTATGTTGTTTGCACTTTCGGAAAATATAATCAGGCGCGTATCGAATTTGTTAAAAATAATATATTTTTGGAAGATCCTATACGAGGGCAGATAATATCTTAGAAAGTTAGCACAACATAAGCAACCAGTGTATTTTAGTTAGAGGTGTCTAACGGGCCGGGTTGACCCATAACCGGACCGGCCCAGACCGGTTAAAACCGGAACCGGACCGGCCCGGTACATAGGGGGCCGGGTGGGCTGGGTAGGAGGGGTAGAGGGGGTTGGTCCGTTTATTTTTTTGTAACGATTAACCGGACCGATCAAACCCGGTCCATGTGAACAGTGTCGTGTACTGATTTAACTGGCCCGGACCGGACCGGTACAACGGCTAATTCTTTTTTTTTTTTTTTTTTTAATTTTTTGAAATCAGTGGGGCCCACTATGTTGACAACGGTCACCCCTAGCAGGGATCCATTGCCCAACGGGTTAATTGCATTAATAGCCTCTTTTTTCTTTAAAATTTAACCTTTTTTCAATTTACAAAATTAACCTTCTCTAAAATTATAAATACCCCTCTCCCCCTTTCTTCATTTCTTCACTCGACTCTCATTTCTCAATCTCAATTTCTCTCATTCTCTCATTCTCCAAGTTTCAAGACTTCAAGTCTTCAATTCATCTTCTAATTTTATTTGGCTCTTTTTTCTTGAATTTAATTTATCATGTTTTATCATTCGGATTTTGAAGTTTGAACAATTGAACTTCAAAATTGAAATACTTGCTTGACGTTTGTTCGTGGTAACATCGGAATTGCGTAATCAAGTGCTCAATTTATTATCGAATTCGGTGCACTCCCTCCAACTCTTTCTCTTATTTACTATTTTAATTGCATATTTAATTTTAGCTTATACTTTAATTTTTACAATATATTTAATGCTGCTAAAAGAGCGTGTAGAAAAGTTGCTGGTAGGGGAAATAAAAAAAAGAGGTAGTCCTTCAGCATCTGGTAGTAATAGTAATACCCCATTTACACATGTTTCCGAAACATCGCCTAATGATAATATAGATTATGAACAATTACAAGAAGATTTTGGAATAAAAGATAATGAATTAGGAATGGAAGATGAAATATCAGCTACACCCACTAGTGCCGAAGCTGGTAGTGTTGGAGTTGCTACAAGGGGTGGTGGTCGTGGCACTAGTAGTAGACCACTTCTGGCCCCGACTACTAATCGTAGAAACAGAAGTAAGGTTTGGAATTTTTTTGAAATAATTCAAGGTACTGATAAAGTTAGATGAAAACTTTGTAAAAATGATTTTAAACATTTGACTGGAGGAAATTTAGGGGGGACTGAGACGCTTATTAGACATATGAGAATTGAACATCCCAAAGAATGGGGCTCTGATGGTGATGGAAATCAAACAACTCTTAACCCTACTACTGGAGGACTTATGAAATATGATAAAATGAAGGATCGTGAGGAGTTAGCAAAAATGATTGCTTTGGGTTGTCTAGCCACCTTCTTTGTAGAGTTTCTCTAACTTCTGATATTGGCCATGCTGTTAATGGAAATGATTATTTGACAATTACATGTCATTGGATAGATGATACTACTTGTATGCAAAAACGTATTATCGCTTTTAGATATGATGAAGATCAGAGTCATACTACTGCATTTATAAGTAGTACTATTTGTGAACTTGTTGAATTTTATAATCTCAAGCAAAAAGTATTGTGTATGTCTTTTGATAATGCTTCTAACAATAATGCCGCAATTTCAATATTAAAACTGCATTTGCAATCACCTCTTGATGAAATTTTTCATGTTAGGTATGCATGTCATGTTTATAATTTAATTGTTAAAAGTGGCCTTGATTTATTTTCAACTGAGATTACTCATGTTAGAAGAGCAGTTGATGTTATTCAAGGAAATAATAGACAATCTAGAATAAAGGAATTTAAGAATAAGTGTGTCTAGTATAACCTTAAACCCAGATTCATGCCAGACGAAATTGTTACTAGATGGAATTATACATATATATTTTTAAAATGTTGCTACAAATATAGATTCCCAATAACTGAAGTTGCTAATGCGCATTGTACTGATCCAAATCGTGTGTTAATAACTACTACTTGGGAGGTCATTAATGATGTTAAATTTTTACATAAATTTTATACAACTACTGTTGAGTTTTCTGGAGCATATTACCCTACTGTTACTATGACTTTAGTACATATAGCTGAAATTTCTTTTCTACTCTTTGAATTTAAGAAGAAGGAAAAATATAAGGATGTTGTGGAAAAAATGCAAGCAAAATTCAAAAAATATTTCTTTCTAATTCCTCCGATTTACTTAATTGGTGCTGTTTTAAATCCTTCTATTAAGATGTCTGATTGTCACAAATTAATGAATGCTTTATATACTTATATGGAGATTGGACCAACTGAAACCCAAGATTTATATAATTGTATGGACAAGCTAAATGAATATTTACAACAATTATATAATTATTATGCAAATGTAATTGATGATGCTGCTCGTACTGTAGGCAATGTTAATCACACTATGCACTGTACCACTTCTGCTACTGTGGATGATGAAGAATGCCTTGATAGTTTTAATATTTTTTCTATATTTTCTAACACTCAAATCAGTAGCAGGAACATTGATGAATTTCAATTCTACTTGCAGAAGCAAAAAGAGCCTCGCACAAAGGAATTTTCGCCGTTGGGATGGTGGCATGAGAATGGAAAGCAATTTCCTGTTCTTTTCGCTATGGCTCGGGATGTGCTGAATGTGCCAATTTCAACTGTTGCATCAGAGAGTGCATTTAGCCAAGCAAGACAACAACTTGGAGACACCCGTCACTCATTGGGAAGCAATGCTTTGGAAGTTTTAGTATGTTTCAGAGATTGGATTAGATCGGAACGAAGAAATCAAGGACGTNATGTGATGAATGTGCCAATTTCAACTGTTGCATCAGAGAGTGCATTTAGCCAAGCAAGACAA